ATATCGTAAATAAAAAATATAGAAAGAAATCGCAAACATAATAGATAAAAATTTTTAAAGGAATATCTGTAAAAAATAGGAAGAATGTGTGAAAAATATGCAGGATATAAGTTAAATAAAAAGTATAATGATAAAAAAAATATAAATATTATATTAATAATATTTGTATTTATTTTTATAATAATAAAAAAATATAATTAAATATATATATAAATTATATATATATATATATATATATATATATATTATTTCTATTATTTGTTTTATACTATAAATATATTACGATTTTATTTTTTGTAACTGTTTTTTTTATATATTTTTTTTTATTTTATTTTTAATTTTTAATATATTTTTTATTTATCTAATATTATTTTGTCCAAAAAAAAAAATTATTATAAAAAATCTTTAATTAATATATTTATTTAATTATATTTATATTTATTTTAATATTTTTTTTTAATATATAATTAATTATAATTAATATCTTTTATTTATATTAAGATTAATTATTATATATGTTTGAATATTTATTATAATTTTTTTTATTTTTCAATTATTTTTTAAGAATTTACTAGACATTAATAATTACAAATTTATAACTATCATATCATTTTAGAATATTTTTTTTCTATAATTTTTGTTTAAGACAAATTCTTATTATTATTGCACTGTTTTATATATAACAATTTTTTTACAAGAATTTTAAAGTATTTTTATTTTAATAATATGAATATTATTAATATTTTATTTTAAATCTATTTGCGTAAAAACTTTATTTAAAATATTTTTATTCATTTTATATTGATTTCTTAGAATATTATCTTTTAAGATTTTTTTTTAGCTTAGTTTTCAAGAGTATAAAAATATAATTAATTATTTAATAGTTTAATTATGTCAAAGTTTTAGGAAACATTCTTATTTTTACTAAAAATCATATAAATTCTAGTTAATTAATATTATTATGAGAAATATTTATTACTTTAAGAAAAGCTTATAATTTTAAAACATATTTTTGTTATATTTAAATAATTAATATATAGACTTATTTTATTTAAATAATAAAAAATATATTTATATTTTATTATATGTAACTAAATAGATATAAATATCTATTACTTATGATCAATATATATAATAGAACCTATGATTTAAGATAATTATTTTTATAAAAATTAAAAAAAATCATATAGTTCTCACTCAAAAAATTATAAATTCGTATGTTAAATACATTATTTAAAAAGATATATTTTTATTTATTTCTTACATATAACAAATATTTTTAATATATTAATAATATAAATTTATTAACAAAAACAATAATTAATTAAAAAAAATTATAATTAAAATATTTTTATATCTTATTTTAAAATTTTTAATTAAAAGATAATATTTAGTTTTTTATTTAATTTTAATAATATAATTTTATATTTTAATTTATATTTTTTAAATTATTTTTATTTTATATATATATTTAATTATTTTAATATCAATTTTTTTAAATAAAAAATAAATAAAATATAAGAATATGAAATAGAAATTTATTATTTAAAATATATATATTATATAAAAAATAAAATATATTTTTCTTATTATAATTTTTTAATAAATACATTTTATATAAAAAAAATTATTTTCTATATTTTTATAATAATTTATATTGTATTAATAATATTGAAATTGATTATTTATATATTAAATTAAAATAATTAATAAAATTAAATTTATAAATAAAATATAAAAAAATAATTATTAATAATTAATAAATTTATTATATATTTTAAATAAAATTTATTAAATAAAAAATATTAATATAATTAAATATATTTATTTTTAATAAAAATAATATATACATATATATATATATATATATACATATGTTTATTACTTTAAATACATATTTTATAATATGTTTATAATAATTTACATAATATATATATTTTATTCATTTATATAAGAAACACTTATTATATTGTCTATGAATCTTATTTTTAAATTATAAGATAATAAATATAAAATAATTTAATTAATTTTTATTATTGAATTTATTTGATTAATAAAAATAGGATAGGAGCTATTTATTATGATTAGTTTCTTTTTTTTTAGAAATGCATGAATATTATATAAGTAAGGATGATTGTAATATGTTGATTGCAAGGTTTAATAATAATCTATAATTAGTTCTTAGTAAGATCATTATTTTAATTTAGATTAATTTATTTTATAATTTAGACCTAAATATAAAATATTTTTCATTTGATATAGTTTTTTTATAATATTAAATATATATATATATATATAAATTTACATATTAAAATAAAAATTATAATTTTTTGAAATAAAATATTATAAATATAAAAATATTTTTATTCTTTGATTTTATATTTTCTTTTTGCAAATTAAAGAAAAATAAAAGTTTAAATACATTTTCATCAAAACATTATTTTTATTTTTTCTTAAGAAAATATAAAAAATTTAAAAGAAATAACAGATATATAGATATATATATTTTAAAAAAATATTTATTGCTTTATTTTGTTAAAAATATAAGTATTATTTATTTTATTTTTTAAAAAATAAATTTCTTTTATTTTATTTTATTATTCTATAAAAATTAATTTTATTAAAATAAAATAATAAAAATAAAAATTTTAAAACAAATATCTCATATAAAAATTTAAAAGCATTTATTAACAAAATTATAGAAAGCATATAATATACTTAACAATTTTTTCTAAAGATATAATAATATACAAATTTATAAAATGTAAATACAAAGAAAAAAAATGATTATAAAAATATATATGTAAATATAAAAAAAAATATGATCATATTTTTGTAAAAAAAATATTCATACAAATTATTAATATTATGGCTTAATTTAAAATATTATTATAAATTAAGTAAAGGAAAACATGATGAATATGAAAAATTATAAAATAATTTTTTTTAAAAAAAAATTAAAGCTAATTTTTTATATAAAAAAACGCAATATAAAATAAAAGCATAAGAAAAAATATTAATATTATATAAATATATATATGTATTTCTATATTTTTTAAAATCATAAATAATTATATATTATAATAATTTATTTTATATTTACTTTTTATTTATTAGATATTTTTTTAAAAAAAAATTAATATTTATTTAAAATATTATTTTTTTTAAAATAATATTTAATATACATTTTTTTTACTATAAATAATATATCTAATAATAATTTACTATAATTATTTTTAATTATATATTATTTCATATAAATTTAATTAAATATTATTCTTATATAATTTCTATATATTAATATAATAGAAATAAAAAATATTAAAAAAATAGGAAATAATTTTAATTTTTTTATTTACAGAATGATAACAAAATAATAAATAATATGTTTTGAATTTTAATAGTAATTATTTAATTTTAATTGTTCTTTCTCAAATTATTATTTTATATATATATACTATTTATTATATGAAATTCAATATTATTAAAAAAAAAATTATAAATAAATTTTAAAAATATGTATTAAACAATAAACAAATTAAAAATATTCATAATTTTTATTTAATATTTTTAGAAATATTTACTTGTAAAGAATAATTTATTGAAACAGATTCTTAATATCATATAGATTTAAATTTATTTAACTATAATAGAATGTTTAAATTTAATTCTAAAGAAGTTTTAGATATTGATATATATTATCGGTTTATTTGATTCTAAAACCCCTGAGGTTAAAAGAGAATATGGTATTTTACCTCCCTTTTATAGTTTACTATTTAGATTTGATATAGTAATTGTTAATTTACCTGTTAATCATTAACCAATAGAAATTTTAGTAAACGACAAAAAAGTTGGGCATATTGTAAAAGACAACATTCGTAATTAATATTTAAATAAAGTATGTAATTAGGATTCATAATTTCAAGATTAAGTATTCTATTTTTAAGCTAATGTAACAAGTTAAATATAAAATCTATATTTTCGATAAGAAACGATATAATTAAAGTATAAGCTAAATAAGGATTTGGCCTAAAAAAAATTTAATTTTACATTGATACATGTGATTTTTCATGTTAAACTTGCGTTGGTCCAACAAGAAATTAATGTGAATTATGTCCTGAAGAAGCTGATAAAGATGAATAAAGTATATGCAGATGTTAAGGATTATATAAATATTTTTAAGATCATTAATGTGTACATAAATGTAAAGATGGATATTACGTTAAAGATGATTATTGCCTGCCTTAATCTATCAAGAATTGCGGCATTATAAGTAATGTAACTAATTTATGTGTTAGTTGTGATGATGATTATTTTCTTTTAAATGGAGAATGCTTTTTTAAATAATGTCCTTTTAATTCTGTATAGAAGGAACTTTAAATTAATGTAAAGATAAAATCGAGAATTTTAAAAATGGAAGTTATTTAATGAAAGGTTTGTTTTCAAATGAATTTGGAATGGGAGAAATTGAATCAATGGAATTAAATTTAAATAATTTTATAGATAAAATATATTTTTCCAAATGCGGAGAATATTAAGTTTTAGGTGGTTTCAACATAGCAACAACAGATTCAAAAGTTATAAAATCATTTAATGACTTAAAACCTCATCATTAAATAATAATTGGTTTAGTATATTTCTAAATAGATAATTGGGAAGAAAAAGAATAATTTACAATACAGGCTAATGATTAAGTTTTTAAGGGGTAATTAATTAATTAATAGAAAGAGAATATTTGTGGTTTAAAATACAACGACTCTATATAGTATTATTAAGTAGGATTAGTACATAATGAACCTACTTTAGACATTGTACTCTCAACAAACTTAAACAGTTATTAAAGCGAGTATTTTGGAATAAGGGAGCTTTTTGTTATCATAGATTATTGTGATAAACATTGCGCTAAGTGTAATGATACTACATGTGATCTTTGCGAAGAAAGGTTCACTTTTAAAGAAGGAACCAACACATGCGTATGTGTAAAAGGATTCTTTTATGAGAATAATTAATGCAGTAAATGCCAAAAACGTGTGGAGAGTGTGAAAATGGAAATGAATGTATTAATTGTAAAAGCGATTATGGATTATATTAAAAAAGTTGTTTGAAAGAATGCCCAAAAGGGTATGAGAATGAAAATGGAATTTGTGTAGACTGTGAAGATTATAAGTGTAAAAGATGTTCGACGGAAAGTAATACTAAACAACCTTGTTAAAAGTGTAAAAATATAGTTACTATTTTATCGAATAAATGCCCGTCTTTTATATGATAATTTTATAAAAAATAAATGATATAATTGTTAGATAATTAATTTATATATAATATAATGTTAAAAATATCTATAATATCTAAATAATACCAAAATTATATAATTTATTTAGTTTTTATCTATAAAAATTATTTAAATTAAATTTATTTAAAAATTAATATTATAGTTTTATATATTTAAAATATAAATAAATAATTTAATTAATAAATAATAATAATAATATAAATATTTAAAATGTATATAAAATTATTTATATATTTATTATATTATATTTTATTAAATTTCTAATCTAATTTTAAAATATTATTTTTAATATATAAAAACAAAAAATAAAAGGACAATAATCATATTACAATTAGATAACTATAAACCAAATTCTAGTTAATTAGATAAACATTTAATACTTTTCCAGTTTTAATAATAATAAATATAGCCCTGATTATTAGAGATATATAATCTATTAAAGTTATAAATATAAACCTTTTAAGATATAAAAAAATAGACTAATAATAATATATTTATAGAATATAAGGTATTAAAATATAGCTCACTTATGGATTAAATAAGTTATAAATGACATATAAGAATAATAAAAATAAAATCATTAATTAATATATTTAAATAATAAATTTATATATATATATAAATTTGATTAAAAAAAGAGTTGAAGACTTAATTAAGAAAAAATAAAATAAGAAATATATTTTATATAAATTTTAAAAAAAATTAAAAAATATTTATATTAAAAAATTTAATTGAAAATATTATTTAATTAATAAAATTCTTAATTTATACATTAAAACTAAATAATAAAACATGTAAAAACAATATACACTAGATAAATATAAAATAGTGGAAAATTAATTCAACCGTATATTGCATGAAGTAATTAGTAAAAAAAAAAAAATCCTATTTATATATATAAATAATGTAATAATATATTTTATGAATTAAAATGTAAACATGTAAGAATAAAAAGTTTTAGTAGTAGACAAAAATAGTCTAAATAATAAGTTTAGTATATTTTTTAAAACCAGTATATTAAAAATAAGTATATTGAATAAAACTTATTGACCAACTTTTTGAAAACAAAATTTAACATTTAAAAGTAATTATTTCATCCATCCATTCCACTGATAAAAATCAATAAAAGATTCTATAAGAACTAAAAAAATATAGTTTTGCAGAATATTATATATTTTTTTGAAATTAAGCTTTAAATTTATTTATTTAAACAATAACATAAAGCCTAAGCAGACAATAAAAATTTAATAAAACAAATTCCTAAAATTTACATAAATTATTATGATTTGCTACTCATTTATATTATCTAATGTGACTTCTAACTACAGACTACTAAATATCAACCTTTATTAAATTAAATAGAAAAATAGGTCCTCTAACGATTATATGTTTGACTTTTTTCAGTACTTTTAAATTTAAAAAGAATATATATAATAAAATATTTATCAAATTAAGATACTTTTATAAAATAAGCATAAAAATAAACAAAAAAAATTAATAGAAAAATATAATAAATACGTCTTAATTAGTTTTAGATTAAAAAGATAATTACAAAAAAATTAAATATATATAAATAAATAGATAAAATATATATAATATATTTATATATATTTATAAATATAAATTTATTTATTATTTTTATTTATTTAAAATATATTTATATATATATTTCAGATATCAAGGTAAGAAACACTTAGTATATTGTCCAGAAATTTTAAATCGCATATATATTATCAATGTAATTTTGAAATAATTATATAATAAATGTAAAATTATTTAATTTATTTGTATTTTTGCCTTTTTTTGATTAATAAAAATAGGATAGGACTTATGTATTAGGAATATATTCTTATTTTTTAAAAAAATTAAAAATATTATTTAAGATAGATGTTTGTATATGTTGATTACAAAATAATAATTATTTATAAATATTTCTTAATAAGATAATTTATTAAATTATGATTTTATTATTTTATATATTAGAACTAAATATAAAATATTTTTTATCATATAAAGATTATTTATAGTATTAAAAATATATTAATATAAATTTATATATTAAAACATTAATTATAATTTTTTTAAATTAAATTTTTTAAATAAAATATTATTTATAAAAAATATTTATATTTTTTTATTTAATTTAATTCTTGCAAATTAAAGAAAAATAAAAGTTTTAATGAGATATTCAACGACGAATAATTATTTTTTTTAAATAAAATAAAAAAAATTAAAAAGAAATAATAAATATATACTAAAATTAATTAAATTTATTTTAAAAAATTAATTAATATTTTATTTTGTTAAATATTATGTATTATTTATTTTATATTTTAAAAATATAATTTATTTTATTATATTATTCTTTAATAATTAATTTGATATAATTAAAAAAAATACTGATTGTAAAACAAAAATATCATATAAAAATAAAAAGATTATTTAAAATAATTATATAAAATATAATATAATTATTTTTTTTTTCTAAATATATAGATTACAAATTTCTAAAATTTAATTATAAAAATAAATATGTGTATAAGAAATAAATAAAAAAATTTGATTATAAATTTTTAAAAAAATATTCATATTAATTATTATTATGATGATTAATTTAAAAAATATTCTTATAAATTAAGTATAAACAAACATGATAAAAAAAAAAAATATAAAAAATTAATATTTTAAATTAAACATAAGAATAATTTAAATTAAAATAAATATATATAAAATTATATATTAATATAAATATAAATTTAAATATAAATTTATATTAATATATATATATATATATTTTATTTAAATTTTATATATTATTAAAATATCTTTAATATTTACTATATATTTATTATATTTTACTTATTTATAAATCAGATCTTTATTAATAATATTCTTTTTTATAATTAATTTTTTTTATTATAAATAATATAATTAATAATATCTCATATTAATTTTTTAAATTTTTACTTTATAATTTTATTTAAGTTTAATATAGTTTTTTAATATTTTTTATTTACTAATAAAATAGAAAAAAATAATTATTTAAAAAATTTCTAATAAATTATAATTTCTATATTTTTAAAATTATAATATTAACAAAATATTAAATTATATATATATATATTACTAATTATATATATTTAATTTTAATTTAATTTATATATACATATATATTTTATTTTTATTTATTTAATATCTTATATATGAAATTCTATATATTTTTAAATAAATATAATAAATAAATTAAAATAAATGTATTAAGCAATAAATATCTTAAAAATATTCATAATTTTAATATTAATATTTTTATAAATATTTACTTGTAAAGAAATATTAATTGAATCTAAATTTATTGATGCTTCATTCAGTTTAGATTAAAATAAATGGAATGTAAACAAATTGTTTAAATGTACTTCAAATGTAATTTTAAATTTAATTAATGTTTTCGGTTTATTTAATTTTAAAACCCCTGAAATTAAAAGAGAATATAGTGCTTTACCTCCTTTATGGAGTTTATTATTTAGATTCGATATAGTAATTGTCGATTTACCTGTTAATCATTAACCGATAGAAATTTTGTTAAACGGTAATAAAGTTATGAATTTTGTAAAAAATAGCAATAATAAATATATAAAACAAACATGTCGTGAAGTTTCATATTTTCATGATTAAGTATAATATTTTCAAGCTAATTTAACAAGTTAAATATAAGATCCTATATTGTCGATAAAAAACAATATATTTGCATTGAAAGATTAGGAATAAGGATTTGGCCTTAAAAATTTTTACTTTTACATTGATACATGTGATATTTCATGTTAAACTTGCGTTGGTCCAACAAGAAATTAATGTGAATTATGTCCTGAAGAAGCTGATAAAGATGAATAAGGTATATGCAGATGTTAAGGATTATATAAATATTTTTAAGATTATTAATGTGTAGAATAATGTAAAGATGGATATTACGTTAAAGATGATTATTGCCTGCCTAAATCTATCAAGAATTGTGTGCTTATAAGTAATATATTAACTAATGTATGTGTTAGTTGTGATGATGGTTATTTTCTTTTAAATGGAGAATGCTTTTTTAAATAATGTCCATTTAATTCTGTATTAAAAAAAGGAAATATAAATTAATGTACAGATAAAATCGAGAATTTTAAAAATGGAAGTTATTTAATGAAAGGTTTGTTTTCAAATGAATTTGGAATGGGAGAAATTGAATCAATGGGATTGACTTTAAATAATGTATATTTTTCCAA